AGAGAGTACTTAGAAGGAATCAAGCTGAAAATTTAAGTTTGAAATGCCTATTAAGTATCTTCAGTGTTTGACATTAGAATACTAAATTTCAGTCCAACGTAATAGTAGTGGTTTATATTCCCACCAGCTTTATATGATCCATTTGGGTGAACTCTGGATTTGGGTGCCTCTTCAGCAAGAGACAGCATGCCAAACTACTGTTCTGTGAAGAGCCATTGACAATCAGTGCACTAAGGGCACCTATCATTTATACAACAAAAACCCTACTTAATTGTTTTGTGCAAAATCAGTTGTGAAGTAAATTCTGTAAAGTTAGGTTTATTAAGTTTATATTTTTATACCTTGACTTTTCTTTAATTGGAATTCACCTGTTTTTGTTTCATTTTTCATTCTAGATGCCGGCTCTGGTATGGAAGAGGTAGAATTAAGCTGGGAAGATTATCTAGAAGAAACAGGGTCCACAGCAGTTCCCTATGGGTCTTTTAAACATGTAAGCAATAACTATATTTGCCTTACTGGTGTTATATTCCTTTATTTCAAATCTCTGTATCATCATTAGAGAATGTAAAGCTATTTTAATTCATGGTACTTGAAAGAATTTAAGAGCTTTTTCTTTCCTCCTGCCACCCTTAGTAAGAACCCTTGCCATATTCTAAAATTGTTTTAGTTTTGTATATTTTTCGCCACTCAACGCATGATTTATCTTTTTGACTGTTCATGAATATTCCTTTATTTTTGTCAAAAAACCTTGTCATAAATTGAAGAAAATTATTTATTGCACTTTATTGCATTTATTTTGTTGCATTCATTGAAAGTAATTTCAACAGCATTATTTGCTGTCACTCTTACTGAGCAGATTGTAAGTATGACATACATACTTAGTACATATCATATTAGTGGCCTATGCAGGCCAGTTTTATTCCCTAACAACCCAGTTTAATGCTCTGTCAATGACAACATATTTGCCTTGTGTAATGACTTTAGAATGTAAGAAAGTACCCCAAATTTTGTTCATAATTTATATCTAGACCTAGGATTTTTTTGGCGGGGCAGGCCAGGTTCTCACTCTGTTGCCCATCACAGCTCACTGTAGCCTCAACCCCCTGGGCTCAGGTGATCCTCCCACCTCAGCCTCTTAAGTAGCTGGGACTACAGATGTACACTACCACACCTAGGTAATTTTTAGTAGATATGGTCACCATGTTGCCCAAGCTGGTCTCAAACTTCTGGGCTCAAGCAATCCATCCACCTTGGCCTCCCAAAGTGCCGGGATTACAGGTGTGAGCCACTGTGCCCATCATAGACCTAGTTTTTACCCTAACTCCCTCTTAAAACACACAGAATAATTGATTCCAAAACTACTTATTTCATATTTGTCATAGCCTGCTTGGGCTGCCATAACAAAATATCACATATTAGGTGGATAAACAACTGACATTTATCTTCTCACAATTCTGGAGGCTGAAAGCCCAGGATTAGGGTGTGTAGCTGCTTTCTGGTGAGGACTCTCTTTCTGGCTTGCAGATAATTGCGACATTGCTGTGTCCTCACATGGTAGAAACAGAGAGAGCTCTCGGGTGTCTCTTCTTAAAGGACACTAATTCTGTTAGATCAGGGCTCTATCCTTAGGCCCTCTAAATGTTTGTGTCCTCCCAAAATTTATATGTTGAAACCTAATCCCCATTGTGGTGGTGGTGGTATGAAGAGGTGAGGTCTTGGGGAGGTAATTAGGCCATAAAGGTTCTTTCTCCTGAATGGGATTAACGCCTTTATAAAGGAGGCCTGAGAGAACTTGTTTGCTCCTTCCATCGTGTAAAGACAGCAAGAAGGCACCATCTTTGAAGCAGAAAGTGAGCCCTCACCAGATCCTGAATCTTCTGGGGCCTTGATCTTGGACTTTCCAGCCTCCAGAATTGTGAACAGTAAAGTTCTATTGTTTATGCACTGTCCAGTCTAAGTTATTTTGGTGTAGCAACCCAAATGGACTAAGACAACCTTCAAAAAGGGCCTGTCTCCAAACAGAGTCAGACTGGAGGTTAGGGTTTGAACATACAAATTTTGGGTTGAACAGTTCAGCCCTTAGCAGTGGTCAATAGGGCATAGTTTTTTTGTTCTAGGATTTGTAAAGACACTGATGTTACATCTTTACATAAATAAAGACCCAGCACACTCACTATTGTTTGTGACTTTGTGAGGTTCGACCATATTCTTTTAGCTGTTGTCTTTATATGCCAAATAATCCCACTATTTTTATTTTTATTTTTTGAGAGGGAGTTTCGCTCTTGTTGCCCAGGCTAGAGTGCAATGGCGCAATCTTGGCTCACTGCAACCTCCGCCTCCCAAGTTCAAGTGATTCTCTTGTCTCAGCCTCCCAAATAGCTGGGTTTACAAGAGTGCATCACCACACCCACATAATTTTTTGTGTTCAGTAGAGATGGAGTTTCACCATGTTGGTCAGGCTAGTCTCAAACTCCTGACCTCAGGTGATCTACCTGCCTTGGCCTCCCAAAGTGTTGCATTACAGGCATGAGCTACCAGGCCTGGCAAGTTCCACTATTTTTAGTTTATCCTCATGTGAAAACTCAGTCATGTTAGCTGCTCTTTTTGGTCATTCTTAGTTCATGTGTATCTCTCTTAAAGTGATGAGAATTATGTATTTCAGATAAGGATTTTATTTCATATTGCATTGGTTAATCTTTTGTAATTGTTCTCAGTATTCTTTAATAACATGGAAAGTCTGTTTAGTGGTTATATAATACCTTTGAATTCTTGTTTGTGATGCTGTTCTAATATGTACTTACCCAAGCTTATTTATTTGTGCTAATCAAATGGAGAACAAATTTTCTTACAAAGATTCTGGTTCTGACAATGTCATGTTAAAGAAACAGATTTCATCTCTTCCTCTTTGAATGACAAAGCAACCAGGAGAGTGGAAAACAAATGCATACTTCTTTATTGGCAAATGTAGGAAATATTTGTAAATCCGAATCATAATGTATGGTGAAGGGCTGCCAAATATAGTGAAATCAAACATGGATGTGGAAAGATTCTGAGATGGGATGCTTGGGGCTAGCAAATCATAGGCAAAGCTGGTAGAACTCAGATCTCCAAATCAAAGGAGATAGATGTGCAGCCCAATGGCCAGAATTTTACAGGATCCAATCTGGAACACAGGAAGGAGGAATTAGAGGTTAATCAGATTTCCAGGGAGAAAGGATCTCAAAGAGTGAAAAAGCCTTGCTCATGAGCATTCTGGTGGAAGGAACGGCACCCACTGTGGGAAAGGCACTAAGCGTTACCTAGATGCTCTAGTACAAAAGCTTTAAACTGTTAGGGAAGGATTACAAACTCTTACTAATCCTGTGACAAAGGTACAGACCTGTTATACCCTGGGAAATAGAATAGAGGGGAAAATAAGCCCTCTGTCCCTGGAAGAGGGATAGGAATACATATTGGAGCATTATGGGTTCTCTACAGTTGAGGGACAGGTACAATCATTGAGAAGTTCCCACCCTCTAGACCCAGGGACACAGAGCCTCCAAGACTGTGGCTGAATCTCAGAGAGCGCTTCCTGCTGCTTGTCCCCTGCCACCAAGTTAGAGTGTTGGAAAATGGCAGTCTGTTTTATGGGAGCAGCAAGAGCATGGAGAAAGATGGTCTCTGAGGTGCAGTCACCAAAAAAAAAGAGACCTGAATCTGAGGGTGGAACAGCAGACATTGAGATAAAGGAAAAACCCTCTGGCAAATGAGCCTCTACCCTAAATACTAGATGATACTAGAGGAGTTTGAAGCCTGTGGTGCACTTGTGAATGTACCATAGCAACAATAAAATCCAAATCCAGCTTCATGCCTGACTAGATTGACTTAACTTTCTCTCTCAAACTAAAGATCTAAGAAAAGAAGAAACATGCCCATTTCTAGGCATACATACCATTTGCCTCAGTCTTGACTATTCTAAACATAATGTCTGGCTTCCAACCAAATATTATGGGGCACATAAAGAAGCAAACAAACAGCAAACTGTCAAAAGACAAAGCAATCAATAGAACCAGATTCATATGACCCAGATGTCAGAATTTTAAACAATGGTGATTAATATGTTAAAAGCTCTAGCAGAATAGGTGGAGAATGTGCCTGAACAGAAAAGGAATTGCAGCAGAGTTGAAAGCTATTAGAAAAAATGAAATAGAAATAATAAAAATGAAAAATAGCAAAGTTGAATACCTTTGGCAGGCTCACCAGTAGATTTGACACAGCTGAGGAAAGGATCCATGAACTTGAAGACAGATCAATAGAAATTGCCCAGATTGAAACGCAAAGAGAAAAAAGGGTGGGAATTTAAAAAAGACCAGAGCAACCAACAGTGTAAGATATAATATCAAAAAAGTATAATATATTTATAATTGGAATCTCAGAAGGAAAAAGGAGAGTGAGGAAAAGATATTTGATAAGATAGACAATTTTCTTTTTT